TAAATTAAAATTATTATCTTAATTAATTATTACACTTGATATAGAATTTAAATTTCAAAACAAAATGTTATAAAAAACAAATATATATTGTTTCCTCAAAAATCCTCAGCCGGCCTTTACCACGTGAGTTGGATGTTAGGCGTGACATCTGCTTTGTCTAAAAACAAGAAAATAAAATTTTCCAGACGACCCTTCTCCTTTCCAAGGGTCGACCTCCAATAGGATGGTTAGAAAGAACGTCTGTGAAATGAATTGTGCCCCAGATAATGTTGCAAAACAGAGGGTAGAGTTCTGCAAAATGGGTTACTAATTGCCTTAGAAATCTCCAAAGACTTCACAACCAAACAAGTGTAATAAAAGCTACAAATCCTAAAATAAATGCAATATCCTAAAGCAATTAAACTAACATGAAGTAAATAGCAGAAAATAACATGCCATAAAGATTAAATTCGCAGACAACAGAAAAAGTAAAATAATAGACAATGATTTCTACTACGCAGCCCATAATGATAACTAAAATTGAAGAAGAAACTATGAAATTATTTAAATCTGGAAATTGAAATTAAACAAATTGCATGTCTGGATATTATGCAGAAACAAAAGAACAAAGGTAGAAAATGTTCAACCTATATACATGAACGAATAACATAACTAAATCCATAAAATGAAGAAGAACTAACCGAATCAAAAGGGCAGACCTGTTTTGAAGGCTAAGTTGCTTCCAAATGCTTAAAAATTAATCTAAATTGGAATTTGCGAGAGGAAATATGAACAAAGATGAACAAACCTAGCTAAGGCTATGAACTAATCTGGAAAATCTGGAAACTATTGCTGAAATCTAGAAAATGCAGTCTGAAAGCTGAAAAATATGCTCTGGGCAGTCTGTGTGTGTTGGGCAGGCCTGAAACTGTTCTCTTCTCTCTGTATTTATTTTCTTTGGTGCTGGTAACTTTCTCCATGATCTTCGGTACTGTTCCTCGATTTTGGCACAGTTCCTCCATGATCTAGTAATGGGATTGCAAGTGTGGCAGTTATTTAATAGTTATCTGATTTTTATTTAACCTTATATCCAACAACCTTAAAGATAATTACTTAAAAATCCTCAATTTCCCATTTTAAATCAAACTCAAACTATCAGATCCAATCTTATCTTCTACCACCTAAGATCCAACCTCTTTGGAAATCCGTCTGGACCGTTAAATTGTAAGCCAGCCCAGCCCAAATCCAACCTATTGATTTTCTTGATAATTGGGCTTTACCTTGACACGTGACCTTACCCTATTGGTTTATTTTAAGTGTAAACATATATATATACATATTATATTTAATATTTTTCAAAAATTTAAAGTGGCAACCTGTTTGAGTTTGCTTCGCCCTGTGTTTTTGGACCCCGGTTACATGCAAGTGGTAAATTAAGTGGTATCATGTAAGTGGCTAGAAAAGATTCCATTACTCTCAAATAAATTATCTTGATACAAAATTTAAATTTAAAACAATAATTATGGAAATTCATAAATTAACCTTTAAAATCCTCTAAATTTACATATCTTGAGTTGAAACTAATATCCTCTACTTCTATATCGTTACAAACCATCAAATATAAATTTAACTCTAATTAACCTTTTTTATTATTTCTTCGAGTAACTCATAATGAACTTGGAAGTTGCAGGATCTTGGAGAAAGGAGAGAGAATGGGGGGAATGGAAAATGGCTTATGGGAGAGAAAAAAAAAAGGGTGGGGGGGTTAGTTTGTACGGATAAAAA